AGTCCCATAAAGTGACAGTATTTATTGCTTTGTAATAGGCATTGGTTTCAGATGGAGCAGATGTGATGGGTAGATTGAGTAACCAATGGGTTTTAGGTATGAAATGAAATATTCTCAGTACAAAGCAATTAAACAAGTAACTAGTAGTGCAAAGATGCTTACATGTGTAGGTGTTAACATACCATAGTTTAGCCCTCTTAGACTTATGATTATAAAACTGTACTTGGTAAAAGCCGGACAGGTAAAAAAAATCTCTCTAGAGATTACAGAACCAGTTATTTTTTTTTATAAATTCAATGTACTTTTAGCCACCAAGGTAGTGGCCAGTTACCAAGTAATGTTTGAAATTTCATTTCACTTTGCCTACATATTGATCAAAACTCTTTGAAAAACCAAAATATTTTACAATTGAATATGTATGCATGTATTTTCCACATTTTCCAGGCTGGCTTGATGACATTGGTTTGCCACAGTACAAGGACTCATTTAGTGACGGTTCAGTTGATGGTCGTATGTTGAACTATCTCACATTTGTAAGTTCAGAAGATCTTAGCCTGAGCAAGGGTTTTAGTTGAACAGTTCCTGGACCTGTGTAATAATTCTGTTAACATTCCACAAATATTTTTTTAAGATACAATGTATATGTGCTAGGAAATACTGTATTGTACAAATTGCCATTATAATTCAGCTTCCCTCTTTATTATTCTCATTTGGTTTATATAACGCAGGTTAGTTTGAATTTCTTTTGAGCAAAATTGATGTAAATGTGATTTGTGTCATTATATTACTTTATGTGCTTTTGATTTGTAACTCAAAGATTGTCATGCATAAACAAGACTTCAATCTATCCAGAAGACTTCAAGTGCCAAAATGTCTTCAACAATTTTAGAGTACTTACTGATAGTTTATGTTAATCCATGAAAATGAACTCTCATATTTGTAGCAGCTGTTGACTTCACATACTAAGCAGCTCTCGATTTTAACCTTTTAAGTCTTGAAATACAGGAAACTGAATCTATTTTGCTTTTTAAAAAGAAACTTGAACGCCTGCCTTAATTTTATCATATTTAATTATATCGTATCTTTTACGTTTGGGTAGCATTGTTTTGTGTAGCTTTTACGTTTTTACAATATTTTCCACAGGGCCGTTCTGAAAACCACTTTATGTGAGATCGCCCCCTGTATAAATATTATTATTATTATTATTATTGTTATTATTAT